CCCCCACACCACACAAGGTCACGGTCACTTCAATATCATAAACCTATTTCGCTTATACTTTCATTCCTTTTTTCTTTCTTTTTTTAATTTGTTGTGACGATGTAACAAATTGGAACTTTTGTTGAATTTAAAGCACGTTTTTCTATATTGAATCGTTGATTTCGCTTTGATTTTGACGCTGGCTCATCTATTTATTAATTTTATTCGCTTATTGTTCACATTTTAAAACGATTAAAATAAACAAATACACTTGATGAGTCAAACGTTAAGTTTTAACTAAAGTTTTATCACTAAGCTCTCCAGGCTGTTGTGTCGAGTCGTCACATTTTACTTTCAAATGTCCCCTGAGGTGTATCTTGCATAAAAATAATGCTAAGAATTAAATTAAACTCACCCAGATTTTAAACCAGGAACACGCTGATAAACGGATATACAGTCGAAAACAGCGATTTACCAACTACTCACAACTGTGTAAATTGAGCTTTTTTACTGTTCAGGGAGGGATCTTATCGCTCGGGAAACGTCCAATGAGCCTTATCAAGGTTTTTTTCCTTCGGTTTTGTATAGAAAACAAAATTAAATTTCTATTGTAACTAAGTTAGAGCGTAATCGATTTTATTCTGATTTTCCTAGATAATTACTTTCCAGATATAAAGTAAGAAAACTTAATTAAACAACACTTTTTGAAAGTAACGAAATAAAAGTTCTCACTGGATGATAAATTTAAAAAACAAATAACGAGAAAAAGATCAAAGCATTAAAGTTTCTTCTTATTTATTAACTTTCTGGTTTAATTCTTCCTTTTTGTCATATTCCGCTGGAACGAAAAAACACATTTACATTAAATAAATGTAAAAAAGGCATCGGTCCCTGGACGGAGTCTAGAAGGTCAAAGGTCAAACTTACCAGGTTGCGCATAGGTCATACCAAGATCACACTTCTAATGGGGTACCCGTTGGGTGAAGAGCTTATCACGGTAGAGGATAAATATTTTTAATTGAATATAGATTTTGTACTTTCATGTATGTGACGTATGTAATTTATTGGAACAAATTTATTTATCCCCAAATACCCTTCAAAGGTCTAAGGCTGCCAGTTCCTATATCCGTTTCCGGACTTACACAGGATGGTCGTGCAACCATATACCCCTGAAGGCCCAACCCTCACGTCACCAGACTTCAGCCATGGCTGCAGCCGTTCCCAGGATGGACCACGGGGAGGTGCCTGGTCGGGATCTGACGTGAGGGTCGCACCTTAAAAATATCTTACGTGCTAATGAGGGGTGCCCAATCCCCAAATACCCTGACGAATATCAAGAACTTTGGGTGAGTGTAAATGATGTATGCTATGAGTATGTAAATTATTAGCGTGAATGGAAACGTTTATCCCAAATTACCCCGACGAATATCAAGAACTTTGGGTGAGTGTAAATGATGTATGCTGTGAGTATGTAACTTATTAGATTGAATGGCAGAGTTTATCCCCATTTACCCTGAAGAATCGAATACTCTGTGGGAGAGTGAACAAAGTCTGGTGTGTGTGAATGTAATACATTAGGTAAGGTATTGGTTGTGATAAAAAGGTCAGTGACACGAGCTGGATTCGAACCCACGACTTTCGACTAAATACGCCGCTGCTCTACCTCTTGAGCTATCGTGACTGGGATCCACTCGGACACCAACTTCCCATCTCAACCCCACCTTTTGGATTTTCCCTCCTTTTGACGCGACTAAAACGCAAGAAAGATAAGAAATGAAATGCAAAGCTAAGAAACAAAGAGAGGACTGGCGTTGACTAATGTAGACTAAAATATAAAAGTTGTTAAACCTAATTGTCAAATCAATATTTCAACCTAGAAAAAGAAAAACAGAAAAAGTTATTGGATGGTAAACAATCATATACATACTACATATTTATATAGTTAATGCTACATAAACCGACCAAGCGCATATTTTAGAGGTTCACTCTCCCCCCTCCCCAAATATCTAAATATTTATTTCTTATTTTTTTAATTAAACTTCATCCCTTTTTGTAAATACAATTTTAAAAAACCTTTTCCCGTAAATATCTTAAAATATTTTCTTCATAAGTGGAAGAATGTCCAGTCTAATCAAAGTAATTGAGTGCTATTATTATATCGCTTATTCAATAATAGTAGTAAAATGTTTTTAATAGAAGAAACATAATAAATCTTTAGTAAACACATTTTCAAAAACCAAATGGTGGTTGAAACGTCAAATGGGCCAGTAACACCTCTTATACATTACAAGGCCTCTCCTTGCAGTGTCCGACGTGACGTAACACGGGCAAGCAGCTCAGTGACTCTGCCCGACGTGACTTACAAGGGGCAGTATCACCTTACCATGAGATAGTACATACTACATAGATAGCTCCCTGTACTCTGACCGATGTGGGGAAAGATAGTCCAGTAGCACCTTCGCATGAGCTAGCATCTTCGTGCACTCTGTCCGACGTGAATTTACACGGGGCAGTATTTCAGTATTACAAGTATCGGCCACTTTTTCACTTACAAGAATCAAGATATGGTCTTGAAGAAGAAAGCAAATTTAGTTGCCCAAACTTTCGACCTATATTAAGCTCATCATCGAGCAAAACAACCTTAAATTTGTCTACAGATTTACATGTTTAAGTTTTTACAGGCGAACTCAAATTTTCCTGAAGACCGATTCAGTCCTACAATTGCCAAGGACTGTAATAGTATTGATTGTGAATAGTATTTGATTTCTTCTTCAAGACTAAATCAAATTGATCCAGAGTGTTCGTATGGGGGAGTATCACCTTCGCGTAGGAAAGTAGTTTCCTGTACTCCTTCCGACGTGACGTCACAAGGTCCAGTAGCACCACCACATGGGCTAGCATCTTCATGCATTCTGTCCGACGTGAATTTACATGGGGCAGTATCACCTTCACATGGGCTAGTAGCTCCCTGCACTTTGTCTGGCGTGACGTCACATTGATCAGTAGCACCTTCGCATGGATTACTTTGCATAGCTCCTTTCATAAGTTTAAGCTAGTCGTCAGGTGTGCCAGGAGCTCCTTGTGCTAGTAACACCTGGGCCAGAACCGACCTTTTCTCACCACTACCACTGTTCACACAAAAGTAGATAGCTCTGTGGGAGGATAGCTATGTATGTGTGAACTCCAGACAGGATACAGATGTACACACATGTGAGTGAAGGGAAGACCATCCGGTTGGTTAACACTCATATACATTGGTCGACATAGTTTGAAGAACCCGATATAATATCTAATCTAGAGTAATTATGCCACATAGTCAATTGGTGTCTTTTTATGAGAGAATAGCTTCTAAAACATTTGTTAGTGGATAATTTGAAATAGTGAATTTGGCAGGAATTTAATAGTGATACCAAAGGGGAAATATTATTTGTGTGAAAAAAATTGAAGTTTGAGAATGTACTGAATTTGCTTCTGCATTTCTGAATGATGCTGCTATCTGGAAATTGAACACATAACTTGAACCAACAGCTTGCTTGTTGTCACATATGGGAACATGAGCTCTACAAGAGATTATTAATAAAATGGATGTTCTGTCTGCCTAATTATACACCTACATGCTTTTTATAATTGGAAAGAATACTATGTTCACTTTCAGTCTAAACCTGCCTTCTTTTATGTATTAATCTTGTCAAATCATTTAAGAGGCAGATTAACCTACCCAGTAAACAGAGAAATTATTTATTCATTCCCAAAATAGGACAGTCATCAAATAACAAATGAAAATACTTTTTAAAAACTAGATATAAAAGTAAATTTATATTTAATATAATTAAAGACTGTACTAATGGCCAACTTGCCCTGCTGAAGGAATTATCCAGCAATAAGTTAATCGTTTGCACACATTGGAATGTAAGAGAATAGATCTCCATTATCTGATGAGTCATTGAGAAGATAACCCATAACTAGTTTAGGAAAAGGCACATAAAGAGGTTAAAGTTTCTTGAGTCCCAATAAAGAACATTAAAACGAAAGGTGGAGGCCACCTTAGGAGCATCCATTAAGAACTCTTCAGCAAACAGTGAGTGAACCAAATTTACACAGGTTTAAAATATCCACATCGGCTTTAAGTTTATTGTAATTAGACAAGTCTTCCTCCTGAAGACAGATAGGTTTACACACTAAATATTGCCTGCTTTAGTTGAACTTTTGCAAGCCTATCCAACTCACATTGATAGGCAGGAAACCAAATAAGTTGGCATACTTCAAAAGGCTTCTAACAAGGGGCTGATAAAGGAGTTTGACTGTGAAAAGATTGTTGACTCTGCAGTCATTCGATTAATAAAACCAACATTCCGTAGGCATTTTTCGTGATGGCTTCAAAGTGGTCTCAGAAGTGAAAATAACACCGAGGTTAGAAATTAAGGTGACTTCCTCAATGACAGTATAGCGAAAGTTAATATTGGAATTTGTAGCCTTATTCTTGGAGAAGCAGATAAATTTACACTTTTCACCATAACGTCCAACTTGTTTCATCGCCACCATTTCTAAATGCAGTCAGGCCCTCTTGAAGAAGACTACAATCACTCCGACAATCAGGCAAAAAAGCAGCACTAATTGACTTCTTAATAACCCTAGTAACATCATTGAAGATCAAAAATAAAATTGGCCTGGTGTGTAAGTCCTTAGGAAAATCTGATGTATTAACCAAGAATGACACAACCAGACTGGTAAGAGATGACCAATCCCACAGGCTTATAGCTTTTCAACAAGAATATGTGTATACACCCTGTCAAACACTTTTGAGATATAAAAGTACATAACATTATTGCCAGATTCAATAGAATTTGAAATAGTCTTTATATAACAAGCTCATGCTTGACAAATCCATGCTGATCAATAAACAACAAATTACTTCTAAACTCAGGAACAAACGAGTCCTTGATCTAAATGCTGTTTCCGATTTGTTTCTGAATGACCAATCCTCAACTATTATAGGGTGCAGTTTTTAAATAAAAAGTCCCTCACAGAGAATTTTTTTATTTAATCAGTTATTAATTGGGCTAATCTGGCCCTATTTATAAAATGGCAAGGCTAAAATAATTTAAGCTACAGCTAACATAGTCATACTTTTTATTTATTTATTCAGGAAAATTCTACTGTGCCTACAACTGACTTGAACAATAAATATTGCCTACACTGGCTGAATTTGGTCACCATCGATAGAATTGAATTTAACAACTTGTAAGAAGCTTTGTGGTAATATTTCTATTGCAAAACCAGAATAATCGGTTCAATAGTAATTGAGACAAAATTGTTTTATTCAATTAATTTAACTTTGCTTAATAAAATGTACTGTAATAACCAACAGCCAAGCAAAAAAGAAATCCACTGCATATAAAAATATATAATTTTCTTTTTTTTTTACAAATTATTTATATAAATTTTTCAAAAACCTAAATTTTGGATTGTATCGATATCATTGTAATGTCCATTACATTTGTACCTGTGTGACCAATTTTAATTTGGTCTTCACCATTGTTCAGTTTGCTGAAAAAAGTATAACTATCATTGTTTGCTATATGGTTGGTAAAATGCAAACCCTGGTCTTCTGCACATTGGGTTTGACCTATGTAACCGAGCGCTCCTGCGGCATCTGTCGGGCCGTCCAAACCGTCCGTCCCACCACAGAGGATAACGATATTGAAAAGTTGAAGGACATGATTCGTTTTGGCCAGCTCATCGACTGCAGTCGAAAATCTCAACGCGAGCTCCTGATTTCTCCCTCCTTTTCCATTGCCTTTGATTTCCACTGACGTTTCACCCCCAAACAAAAGAAGTAGTTTATTCGTCGGCTCGGAGTACAGTTTCTCTGCTAACTCTGAAACTGTATCACTTGAGATAAACAGCCCTGTATCCAGTTTCTCCATTTCACATAAGAAAGTATCTTTGTTGACAATTTTCGTCAAAGCTTGACAGATAAGGCTGGAGAATTTGGCTAAAAGAAGAGAAACCGTCTCCACTTTACCCTGCAAGCTGTTAGTAAGAACCTGCGTCACGTATCCATCCTTAACTGTCATCTCTTTCGCTGCTGTTAAAGCTAGACTATTATTTCCGATTATGTAATTTCTCGTATTGATGAAATAGTCTTCTTTATCTTCTGGGTCTTCTTTCGTCAATACTTCAATTACTGAATTTGGAATTTTATCAAATAACTCATATTTTTTTAGAATCTCAATCGAAGTGTATTTTGAGGAAATATCTTTAACTGTGGGACCACTTGCAATAGAGTCAAGCGGATCACCAACGATATCAGATAATATCAATGATATGACTTGAGCTGGATAAGCGAGCTTGGCCAACTTACCGCCCTTGACAAGTGACAATTTCCTTCTCACTGCGTTCAATTCCACAATCGGCGCCCCTCTTTTTTGCAACAAATTAGTTAGTTCTAGTTTCTCTTTGAGCGTCACTGGAGGTATTGGGTACGGCAGCAATGCCGACCCACCGCCTGTTATCATAATAATCAGATTGTCGTTTTCACTCAAAGATGTCACCAATTTTACAATGTTCTTGGCAGCTTTTTCAGCCTTCTCATCTGGTATGTTATTCTTCGCTCCTTCGAACACGTCTATATTACCCCTGAGCGAGTGAGAGGTGCCTTCCGGTATGCTCAGCATCCCTTTTTGAAGATGTCCCTCCAACGCTACGCAAGCCGCTGCAGCCATGTCCACCACACCCTTGCCAAAGCCGACAAGGTAGCAGTTTCGCATAAGTTTGTAATTGATACCGCGTACTATCAGCTCTCCGTTCTGGACCAGCAGTTCGTTTGAAACCAGCGTCTTGGGATTGACAGAACTGATACAGTGATTAAAAACAGTCCTCAGATAATTCTTCACCTCTTTCAGTTGGCTCAGCACTTTCACAGCTTCCATTGTTCCTTCGACAGTCACAACAATTACGTTATCAATTATAACTAACAACGTTTTTAACGTCGGACGGGATCTTTAGAAAGCTCACTTGTAAAGATAAGAGGAACAGAATTTCGTCATCTTCAATTAGGCCAGATGATTAATTATCGAAATCCAAAATCTACTCACGCGACAGTCATAAGGTACTATTAAATGTTAGCTTTCTTCTCTGACCTCGTCACACTCCTGAACTACAAATTAGCCAATCGGACAGACAATAAAATAAACTTGGAAGTTTAATAACACTTCCCCTAATATTTATTTTGAATAATATATACTGAGACAAAGAGAACCATGGTCAACAACCAAGTAAAACGTCAATACAGTATACACGTACGTGCGTCGCCCTCTAGGCTCTGTTCTCTGAAACTAGAGACGATTCAACTGATAAATGCAGAGTGCGGTCACAAAGGTGATGACTGTTGACAGTCACAAGTAAAAAGCGCTTTTTAACTTTAGCCACTTCTTGGGTCAATTAAATTTTCTATGACAGATTTGAGATTCGAATAAATTCTAAATTTTTTTGCAAAGCAAAAATCAAATTCCATCAGCACTAGCCCATAGTTATTACCTATTAACATACACGCAAAGAAAAAAATAACTTACTCCCGTATGTATTTGTTTATATTCCATAATAACTAGGTATAAACATTAAAAGTCCTCTTAAAACATAAACACAACATTAATAACTTCTTGATTACCTTGGTAGTGTTACTAATTCTTTTAGCTCTCTTAAAATCAAAAATAAAGAAAATCAGTTAATTATCATTTCTAGAGCCAACTTGTCGAGTGACTTAAAAGATTTTTAATTTTTTTTCTTTAGAGAAACACTAAAATTTGAGTAGGGATAAAACAGGCGGCCACAAGGCCTTTTGAACTTCGACCTAAGCATATCTATTGTGCGCCTCTATCTTTATAACTCATTGGCCAGTTTAAGGTAACTGTTCATCAACCATCATAGCTTCGCTTCTTAGTGCAAGATCTTGCTTGCGGTTTTTCCTCTCCTAGTTGCAAGAATGTCCTACGTCACAAAATTATAAAACGTGTTCTGCAGTCTTCTCTTCTTCGTGGCGGTATCTGCTGTATTTCTTCTGTTTGTACTCCTATCCGATGTATGTGCCTTCTTTGGCAGCAGTGCCCTAAAGGCAAATTTCCACTGGTACACAGACGGCTCAAAGGGTAACTTCCCTATAGGCCTAGGCAAAGTCCTACCATCAACCCTGGTGCCTAGGGGTAACCCATGATGGAGGCAACTTCCCCCTTCCCTTTCCTTCCTTTCCTATCCTTTTTTCCCGTCAATCCCCCCTTGCGGTGGCAAAAAGGGTAACGGGTGAGAACAGTAGGGGGGTAGTAACAGTAGGGCCCAACCCCCGGGTGGGCGATCAGTCCCACCTTAAAAATAATACTGAACCACGGGAGGGGGCAATTCCAAGTAGCCCCCAATTGAGGTTGGACTCGTGGTGGTCGTGGTTTGAAACTAACTTGCGTCTTAGCTGAAGGGCGCCGGCCAACCGGAGCCGAAGGTAAAGCTACCCTTATCTACCTCTCCGGGGGGTGGCTGAAAGTGGAAGCACGGCGTCTGGTAAGCCCGAAAGGGTAGGTACGGTCGAAAAACAAACCCCCAAGCCAGGAATGAATTGGGGGAAAGATGGGAAAACTGGTACACAGACGGCTCAAAAACCGACAAGGGTACAGGAGCGACAATCGTCGAAGACGGAACTGACTTTAAACTTAGGTAAATACGCTACAGTCTGAAATCACAGCAATTGAACACTGCGCTAGAGAAATAAAAAGGGTAGGAATTTGCTATTTTTCTGACAATCAGTCGACACTTCTTAGCCCTAGCGAGGTAAAGGCAAAAAGTGCATGGAATTGTATGGGAGCCTTGGTAGAATGTCAATGAAACCAACGACCTGATCCGGCATGGGTTCCTGGGCATTCGGAACAGAGGCAATAAGAAAGTGAACATGTTGGCTAAAAAAGGAGCCAATTCTGAATGTCAATTCTCCAGGTCCCGAACCCTACTGTGGCCTAGCATCTTACCAAAAAAAGGACACATCCAAAAACGGATTCTTAATTAGTACAAAGCGCAGTGAAACAATACCCCAGGAATGAGGCACGCGAAAAATCATCCGCAAGAATTACAAAGGAATTACTGGAGGGCAACCGTGACCGAACCAGGATTTTATGGGGCTCTAGGTGTTCCTTTTAAGTAGTAGCATCGATTGGCATGCCTATGGCATCTGCCTGAATCTCCTCCCTCAGTTTCCATTGTTTGTTTACATGGGCTATCCTTGAAGATGGTTATCCATTTATGAGTCTGTGACCAGCTGCTCTGTCTTCTCCTTGGATTAAAATATGGAGTGGTGGGAAGTTCTCTGGGAAGATCTCCAAGGCAGGAGTTGCATGAACAAATCGCCCAGAGCCAACTCCAAGATCACAAACACAATTGAAAAAGGAAGAGATAATCTAATCTTGTACAATCCTACTCTAATATTGTTAGATAATTAATTATTGCAAGATACTCTTACTAAATTTATTAATATTCTTGGGCGTTTGTCTTCACCAAATGTTTAACCATATTTTATATTTAGTATAAGTTCACAACTGTAATGTGCTTTGCTCAATAAAGTTTAAAAAGACGAAAATTTAAATTTAAAATTTGGATTTGAAAATAATTTAAAATACATATATATGATCTGATATGATTTCTTGTTTTTATAAATTGCCGATAATTCTTTATTGTTAATAAAGAGGAAACTCCCCTCGAAGGCCGTTCGAAAATAATATATTCTCCATTTAGTTACATTATTTTATTCTTGATTTAATGAAATTTGTAATAACAAAATGCCTTTTTTCTACTGGCTAGTCAGTAGTAAATAGAGATTTGTTTGTTCAGTGCAAATATGCTTTAGTTTTACACAACACGAGGTGATTAATAGGTGACCTCATGGACTGGCGCCATGATACATTTATGTATCGTTCGATTATGTATTGTGAGAAATGTAATGTCAGTCGTATATTATTTATAATGCTATTGAAATATTTACATTTCCTTGTGCAATGGGTGTTCTATGCGGCCGAGTATATGCTGTATGTTTTCTTTCAGAGTTTGAAACGTGTTGACGTTTTCTTCTTGCACACTATCGAGTTGGAGGTTCTTTCTGCATCTTTTTTGATATACTTTCGAACGGTATTCTAGACAGGAGTCGTCCGACATCGTCATCTCTTTGTGCACTTTTACCGCGGCTTCTCCCTTTTTACTCGCACGTTCCTTTGCACCTTTAGACCTGAACTCGCCGAGAGCCTCCAGGAGTAGTTTTTCCAGGCACTCCAGGTCTTTGGGGACACTCGAAGCCTTCCTCTCGTATACATTCCTCTTGTTGCGTCTGATTGAATCTTCTGAAAAAAGTAGCGATAGAGAACGGCACAAATCCGGCCGAACACCCAAAGCCACTTCAACGGTCTTTTTCAGCTCGTTGAAAGATTTTGGAACTTTTTTCGCCCCATCCACGCTCATGTTTGCCAGCTGACTCGGTTTCGAAACGATTTTGAGTTCTGTTTGTGTTGATTTTGACGTTTTCTCTGTCCCCTCGGCTTGGATCGGCGGGTAATAAGCATGCACTTCGATTATATTTTCCGAAAGTATTTTTCTGCTTAGGCTCAATTTTTTACGGAAAAAGCTTTCATCGCTTGACCTGGTTTGAAAAGAAACCCCTTTCCCGTTCATTTCCTCGCAGCCGCAACCCATGAACCCATGATTGGTCAAGTTCATTTCCTCTCTTCAAAACATAATTGCCGCTTTTTTTTCTTCCCTCTAATTCATGATTTAAACTGGATCCATAATACTTTTTACTCCGTAAACACTTTGAAATAGATCGTCAATTTTTAAAAACTGCGATGTCTCGCCGACGTCCAATTTCTTCAAATAACTTGTATTTGCTCGTTTAAAATTTAACTTACATTCTTTTTTACAGTAAAAAACACAAACAAGCAATTTCTAGAGTTAAGTCGAAGATCCTCAGTCGGATGAAGCCGAGCAAAAAATAAATATCAAACCATAGTTTAATCACAATATTCTATTCCGTTTAGAAACCTCTAAAGAAAATATAGCCGAGGAGGTAATAATACAATGCCAAATGAATAACCGACTATGGTATTCTGATGATTTTGCAAATAATAAAGTAAATGCGAATGAAAATAATGACTCTAAGCAGTTATACAAGCTCAATTCTTATCAGTTCGAAACCGGAAGAATAAACTGAACGTTCAACTATACTGAGCCAGCAGTTCAGTTTTTCGTCCGGTTTTCTTTTTTGTGTATAACCATTATTTTGTTTTTACCCTATAAATATTCGTACATATTACAAATGTGATTAAAACAACGTTTTTTGTTGAACCGGCACACGGGCACTTTGGGTTATTCAAACAAAAAACCCGCGAGTGAAGACGGACCCAGTAGTGCCCGTGTGCCGGTTCAACATGAGTTCACCAACTCGCAGATCAAGCCCCATCATCTACTACGTTCTTTTACGCGGTTATTGACTGGGAGTTTTGGTGGCCATAATAAGGGGCCGTGTTGCTCTGTGGTGAACAGACGATGGATGAGGCCGGGACCGGGGGTGCCGTTGGTAGTGGTCCGTGACCGAGAGTCGTTGGCTAAGGTCCATGGCCGAGTATAGGTAATGCTGCAGAGGTTGAAGGTCTAGGGCAGCAGGTAGCCGAGTGCAGCAACTGATCAGTAAGTAGCCAAGTCGGCTGTTGAGAAGGCGAGTTCGAGGCATTTACGATTATACCAAGGTATTTAACCTCATCTATTTTTTAATTGGTTGGCCACATTGCTATGAATGTTCCTCACGCTCATGTATTTTAAAATAAAACTCAACGATTTCTCCCTTTCGTATTCATCAAATCGTGTCATCATCAATTGTTGGCAACTTTTATGCCAAAGTCGCCGCATGAATCCGGTAATTTCTTTTTAGAGTTGATGCTTTTGGTTTGCGAGTCTGTGGACTCATGCTGAACCGACATTGGGTCCGTCTTTACCCGTTTCGGCATTGCGCCATCTTCAGTGAGAAACTGAACAGTTCAACAGTTTGAACAGTCACTGGTCACTGAGAAAACATCCCCACCATGGGTATATCCAAAGATGAACACATTTTTAACATACGAAATGAAGAGGAAGAAACTGCCGATGGAGACGTAACCTAAAACCATGAAAAATATAACCCAACTACACGGGTGCCAGAGCCCAACGTATTTTGAGTAAAGAACAAACAGACTAGTCAGAGGAGGACTGCACGGTCAAATTTTGTCAAAAGATTCGAGGACGCCCCAGAACATACAATCAGAATAACAAGATTAAACATAGTATCTTCTATCTCAGAAGGGCTTTTCACAAAGCAAAACGAGAAATGGATAAGAGCAGGAAATACAAGATAAAAAAGTAATGATAGGGCTCAACGTAGGACAATGTCGTCTGAGAAAACTCCTGAAAAATTAGGGGAAAATATAACCGAACAATATTATAGGTAATTATTCGGAAATCGTGAGATGAGGTCTGTTGAGACGTAGGTTTTAGAAAAAACATTTTCTTTATCGTGCCGACGTTTCGACCTTTATTGAGATCATCTTCAGGGCCCAAAGTGTTTGTTTTCTGCGTAATTGTGCCATTCTTGTGTGTCGTGTTGAGAGTGCGGAAATATATATACCAACCTACATCGTCTGTAATAATAAGGGTAAGTATCGATGTAACTTAAACTAGATTTTAGTGTCACAACCAGTTATCTCATGCACGTGCTAATAAGGATTTAATCAATATTGACGAAACCCTGCAAAGTCAATATTACTGTCAGTGACATCTTTCTTTTTTAAGTATCGATGCCCATGGAAATTGAATTCCATCAAACATCACCACCACATATGACAATTGTCCGATACGGTTTTTTGCCATAGCTGTCCCCAAATGTAAAAGTTCCGTCGCTAATTCCAATCATTTACAACACGGCTTGACCCTCAGGCCTGGAGGGAATAGATGTGGCAATTGGTCTACCCCGGCCTCCGCAGAACAGTTGGGAGGGGCAATCTCTTTTACTTTCACAGTCAGAGTCAGTCACAAACCACTCGCACCAGCACGACTTTCTACCACTTTCGTTTTCAACTGCTTCTCTCCATATTTCACGTGAGTGCCGATTACGTTTTTTCAACATGTTTAAATAAGTTTTTGGTCTGAATTTTAAATTTCAACAATGTATACTGAGGGTGAGTTGTTTCAACCTGAATGTTTACCTAAGATTTTGGAAGGGTACATTACACGCGGTGCTTAAGCGGAACAGTTTACTTATTAAGTAGTAAAATTTAAAATCAAATTAGTATTTTTACTAATTAGTACTATTTACTTTTAATCAAACTCCTTATATTTAAAAAATGCCGCATGAATTAAAGATAAGATTTACGCGTTATCATTGTTTTTTGATAAAACTTTTTATTAATGTAATATTAGCTTTCTATTTAATCGTAGATAAGAAAAATCTTGTAAATCCTGTAATCAAGGAAGCAAGTTTCCAACTTCACGTTGGATGTAGTGGATGAGGAGTCGGACTACGTTACAACGTGGTAACGCTCAATGCAAATACGGAAAGTTTTTCGGTTTTCCCTTTTGTTTTTATTTATTATACGACTGTTAATCCAGTTTTAACATCCGGGCTAAGGTGTTACGAAACGAAGAGCCGAGGAACCCTGACAAACGACAATCCCACGCCGTTTTGTATTGCGCAAATCGTCCTTTATCGTCCTCAAAGAAGTTAATGTTGATAATCAAACGCGTAACTTCGGAATACGGTGACTCGTCGTTCGCCAAAGTTACTGAATTCGTTGCATAATATAAAGACTTAACCTACTTAAAGAGACTCTTTCGCCTCGATTTAGCATACTTGCAACAAAAAGAAAAAAAAATTCCAAACTAAAAAAAAAAAAAAAAAAACCTCCAACACGGTCTATATTATATAATCGGGCGACATGTACAAACAGTACATAACAATTTTTATTTTTACTTAATTATTATATTACGTATCTGGGAATTTTTATAAGATGAGAAAATTTAAAACCGAAAATAAACGAGGACATTTGCATTAATCGCAAACAGAATATTTTCACACCTCTAGAAACGGTTTGGGTCTCACTTAAAGACAATTTTATTTTCCTGTTTGTCAAAGCCCATTACTTAAGTATTTAAATATACTTTTAATTAGCATTAATGAGGGTTAAAATGTACGTACTATTAAAAGATATTTTTTTCCAGCAAAATTAATGGAAATAATAACAAAAAATCGAAAGCAATTTAAAAGGTCGTTGTTTTTAGCCTTTTTTCTATTTTTACACAAAATGACCGATTGTTTAAATCCTAATTATAATTTTTGGTAATTTAATCATTCCCGATCTTTTTGCTCAGCCTAGTTTCGTTGATTTGTTCTTTCGGAAGGTTTGGGGTCCTCAGTATACAGCCGACGTTTCGACCTGTATTTTGATCGTCTTCAGAGGATAAAGAATAGCACCACACTTTATACCCACAACCTTTCACACAAAACCGATATGACACCACAAAAATAGCACCACACTTTATGCCCACAACATTTCACATAAAACCGATGTGACACCACAAGAATAAGACCACTCTTTATGCCCACAACATTTCAAATAAAACCGATATGACTACACAAAAATAGCACCACACTTTATGCTCTGAAGTTGACCCGAATAAAGGTCGAAACGTCGGCAAAAATGAAGAAGGTGTTTCTGTAAACTACCTCACTCTTGACCGCTCCTCACGATTTCCAACAAATTATGAAAAAACCGGTCACTAAGAAACACACACTTTTTATTTAGCATTAATGAAGTTTAAAATTTACGCACTATTATAAAGCTACTTTTTTACAGTAAAGTTAATGAAAATAATGACGAAATCGAAAGAAATTATTTTTAAATTTTTTTACATTTTTACTCAAAATATCTGATTGATTAAATCCTGATTATATTTTTTGGTTATTTAATCATTACCGATCCTTTTGCTTTGCCTATTTTCGTTGTTTTGATCTTTCAAAAGGTTTTGGCTTCTCACTATCATGCATTGAGTGGCGTCAATCAAGGATTTAAGCAGGGAGATGAAGACGCGCACAATCCTACGAAAACGAATAATGTGCGATCGAAGTGCAAATTTTATATAAAGGTTGTGCACAGGACAGAATAAACCAGAATCAGTGGTGGAGATTTACTCTTGCCAATCCCTGCCTATATCCGTGATGGTACGCACTGAAAGCGGCCAAAATGTTGTGTTGTAGGTTGACAAAAATGACCGGAAACGACAAAACTACACAATTTACTTTTACCAGACCACGGTTATTTTTAGAATAGAATGGACAGGGATTAGTTGTAAGTTTGGGCGCCTGCCTTTCCCCACTTAAATCCTTAATGCCAGGAAGTCTATGAATGACAGGCCGATAGACAGGATAGTATGATCGAAAACGACCAAAATACAAATTTGACTCAATATGCAAGACAAAATGAAATTAGTCGTAGGTATGCTTCTCCCTGCTTATATCCCTTATCCACGAAGCATGGCAGGCTAATTAGGATAAACAGACTAATATCATCGGAAACGACAACGCTACATATTTTACTTTTCTTGACATACCGAACATGAACTATTGACGATGGTGAGAAGCGCGTCTGACAGCCAAAAAACAGCAAGGATCGGCAGAAAAAATGACCAAGTACCTATAGAGCCACAGACCGCAAGAGAAAAGTCACAATAATAATTACATAGGCGGTTTTTTTTTCAGTTCCAAAAATAAACTTTTAAGACTAAATAGACAGAAAACAACTATGAATTCCATAACTATTATGCACAAGGATCGATGATGAACTTCTAAAAATTATTTTAGGTGTGAGAATGAATCAGCGTGATTTTATGATCTGAAGAAAAGAGTGGGTGATATCGAGAATCTGTCGACCTTGACTTCCGTTATCCGCAGTATGATCATATCTGAGCCTGCGAGTCGTATTTTGCGGTCAGTGAAAGTCAAGATGTTTTCTCTTACGCAATAATTATTATTTACCAATTTGCTTTGTAATGCGGTTTTTGGCATTTTAATTAAAATGATTTAAAGTTAAATTGATTAGAAATTCATTCGGTAGGTTGAGTTGTATCCACTGGATTCCATTATGTACAAAACATTAGTACATTGTCAAATTAAGGTAATGGCAAAACCAAAAAAATAATTAGCAGAAGGTTAAAACATAAACCACATGACCACATTAAAACGGATTTCCTAAAGCCTTGTTTATCTCGTCGACGACTGTTGGCAACAATCTGCCCAGAAAGCACTTCGATGGCCTGGATGTTAGGCAAGAGGCCATGGAACCTCAAGGATAAAGATATGTTAAAAGGTGACAACATTTCCGGACTATAGTTTCATCCAGTGAAACGCTGTTGATGTTGATGGTTGCGTAATTGTTTTCAATTTATACAAGAAATACGCACAATTGCAATACAGGCTGAACGAATTTGAGTAATAAGGTATTGAGCTATCCACGATTTTATCTTCATCTTAAAAGCTGCACAAACTTTTATTATAAATAATACAAATCAGCATAACTACCGACTCTTTCTTATCATAGGCATCTCGACGAAAATAATCTAAATAATACAAGGTGTAAATGCAATTTGTAAGCAAATATTTGAAGTAAATCCATTAGATTTCGTGGTCCGATTGACCAAATAAGTACTTTCAATTAATTAATCTTTATGTAAGGTATTGGTTGAGATAAAAAAGTCAGTGTCACGAGCGGGATTCGAACCCACGACCTTGGGCTAAATACGCCGCTCGTCTCGTGACTTCGATTCACTCGGACGCCAACTTCCCATCTCAACTCACCTTTCGAATTTTCCTTCCTATTTGCCATTTTTCAAAGATAGGAAGTTGGTGGATCAAAGTCACGATAGCTCAAGTGGTAGACTTTTTTATCTCAACCAATACCGTACATAAAGATTAATTATTTGAAAAAAGCTCAATTGCATTTTCTGCCAAAATGAAAGTGTTTAAGTTCTGCTTTCAGGCACTTTTATGTTATGGTGCACAGATCTCAGCGCTAAACTGACTGTGTTGATGATTTCCAACGCACGTTCTTAAATAACAACCTAATCAAGGAATAATTATGGCCCCGAGAGATGACATGACAGGATGTTCGAGTTCGAGAAAAATTTCCAAAAAAATGGAATGGGAAAGAGGAGAAAAACCGTCAAGAACGTCACCATCTGCTGGTACACTGACAGATCTAGAAGGCAGGAAGGTACGAGGCAGGAGCATTCGATCCTAAAACCAAATATTCATAACACATTGGGAAAATTGAGAGATTTACCCAGTTCAAATTGAACAAAGGATACAAAAATAAGACTATAGCCATCACGTCTGCTCAATGATGGTGCTGGACTGCAAAACTAAACTAATTAGATTAGATATGCGAAATAAAGTCACCCTCTGCTAGGTCCTGAGGCCTTCCTAGGTCCTGGCATACGGATTCACAATATCAATGGGTAGGGATAAGAGAGGCGGCCACAAGGCCTACTGCACCTCGACCTAAATAGATCTACTGTGCTCCTCTGCTGATTATAACTCATTGGCCAGCTTCAGGCTATTAATCAGCCTCCACAGCTTTGCCAGCGGTTCCTTGCTGTAAGATCTTGCTTGTGGTTTTTCTTGTCGTAGTTGCAAGAACCTGCACCTACATGGACCTTCGCAGAAACATAAAATGTGTTCTGCGGGCTCCTCCTCTTCCTGGCAGTATCTGCACAGTGTTTCTTCTGTCTTTACTCCTATCCGGTGCATCTTTTTCTTAAGTGGCAGGGCCCCGTCAGGATTCAAACCAGAATCCTGGTTCGGTTGCGGTTGCCCCCCAGTAATTCTTTTGTAAGTTTTGCGGATGGTCCTTCTGTGAATTTCAATGGATACCATATACAAAAGGACAAAATGAAAATGAGAAAACAGTGGAGTTCACTCGTCGGACATAAACGGTGCAAGAACCTTCTAACAAATTTTGGTAGGAAAGAAACAACGAATGCATCAAAGGAGGCCGGAAAAAACTTTGAATCCTGACAGCATTCTTGACTGGAGACTACAGACTGAATTGCCTGAAAACCCAACAGGGCACGTGCAGATTTTGCAAGGAAGCAACACGCCAACTAAAAAACTGTGGCACCACATTTGCCCGCAGGAGGAAGTGTTTTGGGTTGAAACCGTACCTAACAATCAAATTTCTTGATTAGCTAGAACTCACCGATGTGTTATAAGTACAGAACGGAGGATAGCTCAACAGAAGTCATATCAACCCTCAGGGTGCCGGGTTTTTGAAAAAAAGCCCATTTGTCCCCCATGTCGGGTTCAATTGGAGGGCCGCTGGATTCGAACCCAGGACCTTTACCTTACAGTGATGAGCGCCGTATCAACGTCTACCGTTGCGGCCACCGACGCCCCCTCCATATTATTCTTTGTTTACTAAAGACTTTAAGAAGATAATAATAAAGATAAATAATACAAATTAAATTAAACGACCCGTTTTGTAGCTTCCATCTACTAATTATCCATTTATAAAACAATAGTTGATAAACTATTCCGCATTATTGAAATAATGCATGGGAGCGAGTTCTTACTACTTTTATCAGATAATACCTGCGGGGAAAAAATTAAACTATTATTTCATATACTGAATAATCACACGAAGTTCCATTTATAAAATTTTAAATTAAAAGAACAAATTTTCAACAATCTTCAATTATGTTTGTACAAATTTTCAGATGGTGTTCGCCAAAAGGAAAAGTTAGTTGATCATGAGTGTTTCACACTGGGCCCTCCTTCTGATTTTAATTTACAAAGGTAAGGCGTTGCGAAATATAGCTTATCTAGTAGAATTTTAATAAATAACCATTTATAGATTATTGTTGACTGACTTTAGTTAGATTTCATAATAGGTTTTACACTATTTTAAATTAATAATTCTATTATCGCACTGGCTTTTTATCCAAGCAAATGTAGCAAAGATCAATGGTAAAAAAAAAAGGTCACAAATACAGGAAAACAGTATAATTTTACCATTTTTATTAGGTGTTTGGGATGTAGGTAAGGGCGCTATGTTAAAATAGAATTTCCCAGATCTAGATTTTCGCCGTTGCCAGTGCGCTTACCTCAATCCAAAAATAATTGCGTATAGATTTGACAATTTAAACTAATAAAACGCTACGATAACTAAATATACCATAACAAAATTAAAATCCTTAATAAAATAATAAAAATTGAGTAAAGAAAGAAACATAGACAGATAGATATATAGGTAGGTAGATCGAGATAGATAGATAGAGATAGATAGAGAGAGAAAGTGAATGAGGAAGAGAGAGAAGATAGGGAGAGAGAGAGTGTGAAAAAGAGTGAGAAAGAGGGAGTGAGAGGGAGATAGAGAGTAGAAGAAGAACACAGGCAGGCTTACTCTTCTGTCGGGTAAAGAAAGACATATAGTTAGATAGAGAGAAAGAGAGAGAGGAGAGAGAGAAAGTGGAGGGAGAGAGGAGAGGAAGGGAAAGAGTCAAAGATAAAGAGAGAGGGGACATAGAGGAGAGGGAGAGAGATAGAGAGAAAGAGATTGAACAAGAAGAACAAAGAAAGGTTTACTCCTCTGTCGCTTATGTAAAGAAAGATAGATAGATAGATAGAGAGAGAGAGAGAGAGAGAGAGAGAGAGAGAGAGAGAGATGATCGAATAAACGAGATATACAGGCTGAAGATGTTGCGATATATAGAAGAAAACTAAACTGAAATAACAAACTCCGATTCCGATTACTTTTGTGACCTGTCGACGTTATTTTATTTTGTTTTTTAATCTATTGTGGAACCCTATAAATGATAGACATTTTTTGAAAATTTGGAAAGTGCCATTTTTCCTAAAATCCAAAGCACTTTCCTTTGTGCCTTTTCGCGCACACCTCTTTCGGTGTGAGAATTACTCTAGCGAAGTGGGTGTAACGTAACCGGAAATGCTTTCCATTCACAAAGGGCATGAGACGATGTCTCCGGTTCCTCCTGACGGCATGTTTCTGTCTCTGCTTTGCCCATCTTAGATGATTTTTGGTGATAGCAGGAGGGCCTATGATTTTTCTTAAGTCCTGCCTGTTGAGAGAGAAGAGAACCATCGCATTCCTTTTTGGAAGATTTGTAAATCTCTTAACTTGCCTGGTACTTATGTACAAAGATTTTCTATCTCAAGCCATTTTTCCAATTCCATCTTATCCGCACATTCCAGTGTACTAGTATTGGTTCGCGTCCATGGGAGAGGGCTGCATTTTTTGGCTGGGACCTGGCGATTGGATCCACAATTATTTTTGCGTAACTAATTTATTAATCCTAATTGTGTAAGACTATCATTTTCAGAAGTTTAGCTTGAAAAAGGACATATTTTAAATATAACATGGAATTTTTAAAAATATTGGTAGCTCTAATAGTTAAACGTAATATTTCAAATAAAAAGCGCAATTTCGGATTACTTTTGTGAGACGAAGAATTTGCCTCTCAATCTAAAAAAAATGGACCCGGGGACTTACGGCAGATTAATTAATTCACAACAAACTTGTAAATAATTTCATATTTGATGTATAAGTCAAAAATCTAATCTAAAGTCAAGTAAGGTGAATGTTGTGATATTGCACGCGTATTTTTCCTCTCGACACGTTATTAATTTTTTTTTAATCCTTAATCTACAGACATTTACATAAAACTCTCTCCGTTGATATCACTGCTGGGAGATTAAAAGAAAGAAATTTTCCACGAGATACGAAATGCATTTAAAAAAATCCTATGGTATGATTTATATAAAGGAAACGACACAAAAGAAAAGAAAAAAATCTGTAAACAACCTAATAAAAGTGTATAAACCAAAACTGTTCAAAAGTAGAAATATCTGTCTCTGTAACATATAGAATATAATAATTAAAAAAATCATTTCATAAAAGGAAATAATATTTCGTAGGTGTTAAGAAAGTTTGCCAATACCTACCGGTGAAAGTAGTAGAAAAGAATTAATACTTTCCCTAAATTTCATAAGGAAAATTCCTTTTTATTGGGAAAATGAACTACATTAAAATAAATCATAAAAAAAAGATAATCTTATATCTTACTCTTCCTAAATTGATGTTGATTTTTTAGAGATCACTTTAGGCATTGGGCAGGCTCACAACGAGACGCAGGTGAAAAACATCAACGACCTTTATGTAACGACATCATGCATTGATCCTCCTTTCGTGTGTCCACATCCAAGAATACAATTTTTCCTATATACCAGGTATTCTATTTGAAACTATATTATATTATGTTTTGCCGAATTAGAATTCAGATTGGAAGAATAAGCAGTATAATTAACCATTCATAGCTAGTCCTACCATAGTTTTTCTTAGATTTTTCCAGTTTTTAGGATCCACCCACGCTCAGTTTTCTGGAATGTATATCGTAAAAAACGACGGAACAAATAGCTGAATTGTGTGGGTGTTTCCAAAGTCAGTGATTGGTCTAGTTTTTCTATATTTTTAGAATCCACTTGCGCTTAATTTTCCCGAATGTATATCGGAAGAAATCAATTGAAAAACTAGCTGAATTGAATGGGTGTACAGTTCAGTTTTTCATCTAGTTTCTCCAGTTCTAAGGATTAACCCACGCTCAGTTCTCCTGAATTCAAATCGGGAGAAAAAAGTTCCACCCACACTCAGTTTTCTTGAATGCGAATCGGAAGAAAACAATTGAAAACAAGCTGAATTGAGTGGGTATATCCATAATTCAGTTTTTCATGTAGTTTCCCCAGTTCTAAGGGTCAACCCACGCTCAGTTTTCTTAAATGCAAATCGGAAGAAAAAACTGTACTGAGAGTGTACGGGCACAGCTCTGTTTTTCGTCCAGTTTATCCAGTTTTAAAACTCCACCCACGCTCAGTTTGCTTGAATGCAAATCGAAACAAAACAATTGAACGACTAACTGAACTGAGTGGGTGCATACACCGATCAATTTTTCATCTAGTTTTAAGGCTCCGCCTACGCTCAGTTCTCCTGAATGCAAATCAGAAAAAAAAGCTCCACCCATACTCAGTTTTCTTGAATGTATATCGTAAGAAAACAATTAAACGACTATCTGAATAAACGAGTGCAGCCACAGAACGGTTTTCGTCCAGTTTCTCAGGTTTTACTTTCATTTGTGTCCCTTCTCCTTGCGGTTATTGGTATAATGGTGTCGCAAAACTGTCATGCTTGACAAATTACCAATTTTGCCAGTTAGGTCAACTTTGAAAAAGGAAGAAAATCAAAAGTCCTTAACCCATCATACCGCTACAATCCTCAGTTTAACATGTGACTGGCTGAACTATGTTGATAGTGCATGTGGTACGTACTCTTATTTTTTTAGGGATGCTTTTCATTTTGTTCCTTTTACAAAGTTGAACTCGCTACCAAAAGCCAAAATGATAATTTCCTTCCACACATTCCTCGACACTGGAAGACGACAAGGAGAACTGACTGAACTGAGAAGCTGGAAGAAAAACTGAGCTGTGGCTATATAAGCTCAGTGTTGTTAATCGTTTAAGTTATTCTTCCTGACTGAATTCTGATAAACGACAGATAAAATAATAAATAACTATGAATACAAAACCAAACATTTCATACAAATTTAATTGATGATAACTACTTAATTAATAAAGGTTTAAGGAACAATAGGGCGAAATAGTTGAAAAATTCATTAATTTCGTGGTTCCGCTTGACCAATTAGTATATTACAATTAATTAAGGTTTTTAGTTGAGATAAAAAAGTCAGTGTCACGAACGAGATTCGAACCCACGATCTTCGGCTAGATACGCCGCTGCTCTACCACCTGACCTATCGTGACCTCAATCCACTCGGACATCTCCCATCTTAACCCCACCTTTTGAATTTTCCCCCCTTTTTGCCATTTTTCAATCCCTCTCGTGCCGTTGAATTTTTATCTCAATTAAAAACCTTAATTAATTGTAATAGTTGAAAAAGTTGCTTGCAATGAGGTTGTAGAGGAGCTTAATAAAGCTGATTCTTTCTTATTTATTTTTATTATTGTATTTTCATGGGTTTGAACTTATTTTTTTAAGTGACTTTTGACTTCTTTTTTTGTTACGTGGTAATCAATTTAACATATTTTACTTGTAAAATACAATTTTTTGAACGTGTATTTTAAGTTGTATATATATGCTTCTTCCTGTTTTGCAAAAGCAAACTGAACAGGTACATTATTTCAAAATTATTGCCACAATTCAAAAATATTTTTCAGGTACACACAGAAGAACCCTGAACTTCTAGACACGACGAATCCCGAATCCCTGTACAATAGCCATTTTAATCCTGCACATCCTACAAAAGTGATTATACACGGTTTTCAGGGTGGAAGAAATTTTTCCCCGAGCACTGATTTAAGAGATGGTAAATAATTCATTGTATAGAGGTCAAGACGTTGTGCAGACGGTACTGACCTTTTTCGGGTAACAGTACAAATAATTTTTGGTTTTTTAATAGTCAAACGCACGAATTGAAAAAAGAAATTTGACTATATAATTTTAAAAATATTTTCAGCTTATTTTAAAAGAGGAGACTACAACATAATCATAGTCGATTATTCGACCCTCGTTCGTCTGCCATGCCTGAGTCAGATGCAGTGGTCGCCAGGATTCTGTGCTCAATGCATCGCCCAGATGGTGTATTATCTGTCTCAGCACCCTCGAGGAATTCAGCCGGAGAAGCTCCACCTGATGGGGTACAGCATAGGAGCCCACATTGCTGGTCTTACAGCTAATTACTTAGAAGGAGCCAAACTGGGGCGCATAACAGGTAATTTCAGTTTGTATTGTATTTTTTAGAATTCCAGTCTTAGAGACTCAGCCACTAACGGTTCTAAAGGAATTAGATGTACGTGATGTATGGAAACTTATAATTGCCCATATGGAAAACTTCAGATAATCTGAGCGAGGCTCTTTTCAAGGTGCTGTCCACTTGAGATGTTTTACTCTTGAGAGGCTATCGAGAGCTGTTTTGGCTAGTGGTGTAGTACTCTGAGAGTACTCACAGAAAAGCTGAGAGGTGGCAGGTGTAGGTTGCTCGCTAGTCGCGAAATGCTTCTGCTGTCGTTAACCACTTGTTTACATCATCACGAAAATTCAACTTTTCCTTCCATTTCACAGGTTTTGTGGCAGTAACGTATTGGAACAATATGTTTATGTATGTTAAAATCGGAAGAGAGTCATAGTCGTCATAATCGCAATCATTACAATTAAACTGGTAAACCCCTCTTTTTGCCAAGTTGTCTACCTAGTCTTACCTTTTAAGAGGATGTTTCTAAGTGAACACGCACTTCTAAAAGCTATTCCAAAACCTTCTTGTTTAAGAATTTTACTATAGTTCAGCAATGTATGGCAAACAACGGAAACCTAATGATTCATGGTGGTGGCTGAGTCCTATTGTTCCTTCTTTTAAAGTTAATTTGTTTATTCTTTTAACTAGCAACCTATCAATAAATATTTCCTGATATCCACTGTTTTTGCTAAAGTTTTAATAGTTTATAATTCTTTTTATAGTTAGTGGGAGTTAATGGAAGTTTTAACATACAGTCTATGAGCCAAATGAAACGAGCAGCCTTTTGGGCCCATGAGAGATAGGTGATAAGAATCCGCTGGTATCATAGTGTCTGTAGTTGTGGGTTTTCTATATACGTCTATTTCAATTAGGTTGTTTATTATGGACAATTTTAGGTATAAAAAGTTCAAACAATCATCTTTATTAATTTCCAATATAAAAGTTATATTACGGTGTAGAGCATTAATTAGTTAGAGGAATTCTTTGAGATCCTCTAATATTCCCGATCATATGCATAAATTATTATCGTCGACATAGCGTTTCCAAAAAAGAACAGATTTAATGAATTTGTTGCTTGATTTGAAAAGATTTTTTTTCTCATTCATGTTGTAGAACTCCTTGAACCTGATGTTGAGCTATTAGCTCGAAATACGGATCGTTGAAAACAACTTAGTGTGAGTAGTAACTATCTTTTTAAAAATATTGAACAACAATTCACCATTCGTCATTTCTATCATCACCCTTTGTGGTTGTGCGTTACCAAAAAAATGATTTGTCGATATGTGATATATCGATATCACCAGAAAGTTAGAGATCAGGGATGCGGTCATCAAAACAAGTAAAGCGGAGAACACACCCGACGCAAATCCAAAGTACATTTTTCCATAAGATCGTATACCCCTGTGCACAACTGCCCGATGCCACGCAACGCTACCCTACTCTACGCTCTGCGATCCCCACTGCCCAGATTTTCGTCGGGTAGCATCGAGTCGAAGACAAAAGACCCGGACACTCATATTTTTATCCAAACTCGTGTATTAAGCCGGGAACACACTTACCCGTTGCTATGTCATGCGTCGCTACTCGATGCTTCCCTGATCTCTTTCTGGTGATATCCTGATTCATCCTTCATTCGATATATCGATATATTGTTGCCATCCCTATTCGTGATTGCTGAGTGTCTGTTTTCTTACAAAGAAATTACGGACGGAATTTGTGATGGAGAGAACGTGCTAAAAATCGTCGGGTTTTCGAATAAGTTGGGTTAACAATTGATGAGGAGAATCGTCCCTTCGTTCTTCCAACATCGTAGCATGTCTAAGAAAAACAAGGAAAAGCCTGAATGCAAAACTCCGAAGCAAGTTGATTTGGACAAAAACGGCCACATCAGGATCAGAGTGTCGGCGAGGCCCGGGTGCAAGACGAGTGCAGTCGTCGGATTCGAAGATGAAGGCGTCCTCGTGCAAATCGGAGCGCCGCCCGTCGACGGCGAAGCCAATTCTGAGCTGATCAAGTTCATGGCCCAGTTCCTCGGACTTAGAAAAAGCTCCGTCACACTCGGAACCGGTCACAAATCCAAGAACAAAGTCCTTCTCATATCCGATTCACAATTGACGGTGGATCAGGTCATAGCAAAACTCAAAACAGCTTCCAACGATTAGAAATCATCCACCGATACGGGTTCGTTCAAGAAATCCAATTCACTTTATGTTTGGAAACTAAACTGCTCAAAAATGAATAGGGATATTGCCAGATTTGTAATATTTACTTTCCCTATCATTTTTATTATTAATTGCAGTAAATTTTATTAGAAATTGTTTTGTTACTGAAGGAAAATTTAATTAATAGATTTTATAAAATAACAAAAAAGGTTTTAATTACATAATTTTGTTGGACACAATTTTTTAAGCAATTAATACCTTGTATAATGTCCTCTGTTAACTAAAACTTCTGTGCACCTGTTAGGAATACTGTTTATAAGGAATTTCACTCCATAGATGTTGCAACGCTGCTCTCAGTTGTTGCCGGTCATCTGCGGATGGTGAGCAAAAAGCCTTCTGTGCAATGTTTCACACTGTGCTCAACGGGATTGAGGTCTAGAGACAATGGGGGCAGATAGGAAATTCTCAAGTTTTCTAAACATTGATGAACCACTCTGCGTATATGAGGTGTGACATTGTTATCCATAAATTCACTAATTTCGTGGTCCACTTAACCAATTAATATATTACAATTAATTATGGTTTTTAGTTGAGATAAAAAGTCAATGGCACGAGCGGGATTCGAACCCACGATCTTCGGCTAGATATGCCACTGCTCTACCACTTGAGCCATTGTGACCTCGATCCACTCGGACACTAACTAACCATCTCAACCCCACCTTTTGAATTTTCCCTCCTTTTTGCCATTTTTATCCATAAATCGAATTCCCTGCCAATGAGATCCCTGGTTTGAGGGATGTAGTCCTCGATAATTTCTTAGACTCAATGAACTGCGGTCAGGTTGCCTTCAACAATACAAGAGTCTAGTTAGATTAAATTGCCTCCTCCAACTGCACTGAAGGGAGCATGATCTGGGGGATTGTACCCTGTTCTAGGTAGACTCCAAAGCACCTGGTATCACTATACTGACAAAAATGTGACTCTTCACTAAACACAACAGCATTCCAATTGGTGTTCACTTCTAGGCGCTCTCTGCACCATATTCTCCTGAGTTACTGGTGGCGGGTTATTTCTGCAATTCGTCTCAAAGGGGCGTGCGATGTGATGCGAACTTCACATTAAAAGCCTTGCCGATAAACTTCATTTAGGATCTGGCGGGCACTAAGGAAAGGGTTTCGCCTTGCAGCAATGAAATATTTCTGTCTTCCCTAGTGTCGTCATGTGCTGATATCCACTACCAGGCCTCTCATTTGCACTTCCTGAGGCTAAAACCCAGGAGACCACGCACTGGGAAACTCCAACGGCAATACCCACTTGCTCACTCTCACAATAATATTGCGAACTTCTGGTTGAAGATGATGCTTTACCAAGAGTAAAGAAAATACAACTGGAGAAAAGATGTTTGTTTTCAAAAAGAGTAATCTTCATGTTTACTATTTTTAAGTAAATCTGTTATTAAAAATGAGGAGTATTTATTTCATTTTATCTGACTAACACGAATATATCAATTAGTTAATTTAATTAAAATTAATAGAATAAGAATAAATTACAAATATCCCTATTCATTTTTTAGCAGTTTATATACTAAATTATCAATATAAACTGCCCACAGCTCGGCTCTTCTATTTTTTCCAGACCGCATCTCACAATCTCCAAATAATCTATTTTTTTACTTTCAGTTGTGTCATTTTTCTTGCTGTTTTTGTGTGTAACAATGTCACAAAGAAAGTGGGGTTGTATAAGAGGTTAGGTGAAGTAGACAAGAGACAAGCAGCAAAGTAATTTGCCAAAGGGTCCGTACTGAACTTATGCACTCAATTTATCAGTGATCTAAGAATGTGTACCCACAGCTCAGTTTTTTCTTGTTTTGTATGTCAAGACAAAGAGATTGGGGTTGGATTTATTGTATACGGTATGATAGGTTAAGTAGACAAGACTCAAGAGGTAAAGTAATTCGGCGAAGGGTAAATGTCACATATTTTTATTTAAATGACCCTTGTATTCACTCAGATTATCAGTTTTTAATGAGACATCATGCATGAACAGTTGAAGGGTTCCATCCATGCTCAGTTTTCCCAGATCGGAAATATAAACTGAACAATCAATAGATCTAAGAGTGTGTTTCAATGCTTTTTACACTGGTCAATATTTCATTCAGCTTTTCTAGTTTTTGTGTATCAATTTCATAAAGAATATTAGGTTGGATAGGTCGGTTGAATTAGACAAGAGACGAGAGGTAAAGTAATTTGGCAAACGGTAAATGTCACATTTCTATAAGGACCCTCATACACACTCCAGGCCCTTTTTAACTGTACATTCTGTTTGAAAGGTTTCTTTTGTGCATGAATGTATTTATTAGTGTGAGCGGTTGAGAATTTAGATTTGTGGCAGAAAATAGAGTGCACCATAGTAGGTTAGTTGGTTACAGTGTTATGTCAAATGCAACGACATGAACAGTTATATTATTGCAAAAGTTGATCAACTCTAATTTTTCATGTGTATTCTTGTCTAAATGATTAACTGAATTAATTAACTTTTTATAGGGCTCGACCCAACAATTATATTTTACATGGGTACCAACCGTTCGCATGACTTGGATCCGACCGATGCAAATTTTGTAGACGTTATTCACACTGGAGCTGGAATTTTAGGGCAGTGGGGACCAAACGGACACGCAGACTTTTATGTAAACGGTGGAACGAGTCAGCCCGGGTGCTTAAGCACAAGCATAATCAGTAAGATCCTTGTGCAAGTTGTAATTAACCTTAACTAATATTTTACCAATTTATTTTAGAAACACTCTCTTGTGATCATACAAAAGTGACTCCGTATTTTATCGAGTCGATAAACAGCAAAACTGGATTTTGGGCTGTTCCTTGTCCAAACAGATTCTCATACAATCTTGGCCTTTGTAAACCGTCCAATATTAACGAATACGTCCTTATGGGCGAACATTTGTCTCATAAGTAAATATGGAATTAAATAAAATATTTAATGCATTCATTATATAATGGTTATTCGATTTTTCAGGGCTCGAGGCATTTTTTACCTTTCAACTAATGCGAACAAACCTTATGCAAAAGGTTTTCCAGGTTGAAATCACTGAACAGTCTTTAATGTATATTTTCTAGTTAGCAAAGTCTTATATGAAAAAAAAAATTATATTAGTTCACATTGAATTAATATTAAACACAAAATATAATTGTTATTGGTTTCATATTTATTTGTAAATAAATAATTTTGTAATGAATTGTGTTTATTATTTACTCCTATACTGCCGTAGTTGGATTCTATTTGTATATAATATAATGTACATAGAATTATTATAATTGACTAAAATTATTGATCAAAACAAAAGGTATAGCAGTAGTAGGTAAGTGGTCAGTTAACTGATTTATTGCCAAGGAATGTTCAATGAGGACACCTATTGGCCTTGAACCCTTTTGTAGCATACCAAACTGCCTGTGTTAACAATAGTCCTTGGTTCTATTGGTAATGTATCTCAGGACCTAGTCATCCAAAAAAAAATTTATTATAGAAACTAACAGCAGAACTTCTAAATCTACGACTACTCTGCAGACTCCAGAGGCATACAGGGCAGCAGACATTACCAGAAGAAGAAAAAAACAGTGGAACATGTCTAGTGTTGGTGTGAAGACTTCCTTCCTACTCCTGGTAAAGGAAAATTAAACATGGGACACCTTATGACAGCTTTGGGATCTGGTAAAAAGCTATAAGCTAAATGAGGATCTCTAGATAACAATGTACAATAGACTAAAACTAGTCACAGCACGTAGGTCGTAAAGAGGATGACATTTTTTCTAATCTAATCTAATTAAGATTGAAGCGAGAAATTGATTGGTTACCTGAAGTGGATGTACAAGGTTCCAATTTGAAAGCTCTCTCACTCCTTTATTGAGTGAATGTATTTATTAGCTAGATTTTTATTGTGGGTGGTGGGGCACCTGTGTTATACCAAATACCTTGATGGCTCATTTCTTTGTAACTGAACAAAGGCTCCATGAATATATTTATTTATGAATAAATTTATTTATCTGGCAAAATATAGTGTAACTTTCAGACCCACCAAACAAAGTAGGTTAGTTGCTTGTACAGTGAATGATGGTGACATATCAGCGACATACTGAATTCTCCAGTATACCATCCTTTTTAGCTGTATATACTGTTAGAAAGGTTTCCTTTTTGCATGAATGTATTTATTAGCGTGAGTGTTTGTGGCAGAATATAGAGTACCATACAGACCTACCAAAGTAGGTCACTTGCCAACCTTTTTAACTCTACATTCTGTTTGAAAGGTTTCTTTTTTGTATGAATTAGTATGAGTGTTTGAGAATTTAGATTTGTAGCAGAAAATAGAGTGCTCCGCAGATCACCTTAGTAGGTTAGTTGGTTACAGAATGTCAAATACTCTGATCTCACACCATTTCTTTTGAACTTGAATACTGTTTGAGATGTTTCCTTTTTGCATGAATGCGTTTATTAGTGCAAGTGTTTGAAGCAGAATATAGAGCACCATCAGGCCTAGCAAAGTAGGTTAGTTGCTTATACAGTGATACACCAGTGTAATATCAAATATTCTGATTGCTCATTATTTCTTTGTAACAACATACCATATGAAAGGTTTCCTTTATCCATGAATGCATTTATTAGTGTGAGTGTTTGAGTATGGAATGGCAAAATACATAATATCTCAAATATCCCCTAAAGTAAGTTACTTACTAAATGTTTATGGTCCTTGTTAACTGTGTAAGCCGGTTCCCGTCTTAGCGATAAGTTTAAATTGTTAAAATACGAACAAAATAGGGTAAACGATGAAAAGGGACAAAGGTAGTACTCTGAAGGGGCGACCACCCAGACAGGAACAACGTGACACATCTGGCAAATGTAGCCTGGAAATGGTTACCCAGGTAGACAGGTAAGAACGGTCGGAAATCCATAGCCAGGGGGACATCGTAAATTGGGGACGCGTCAACCCTGTGCTAGACCACCGACTTTGCCGGCCCACCCGCGGCGTGAGAACTCCCCCGACTTTTGAATTTCCTTTCCACCCCTACTCCGGGAGAGACCCGGTATAAAAGGGATGACTAGAAAATCAAAAGTCAGTCAAGATACAAGACTCACCCCAGTCAAAGAACCAGCCGAGACTCACCCCAGGCAGTCAAGACCAAGGACCGGGAGAGAAGCAGCCACACTCCGTCTGGGATTCAACAAGAGGACTCAGCCAGCGAGGATCAGCCGATGCGACCAATCGAGCCAAGTCAGAGGTTGAGAGAAGAGATGCTGTGGACACTGATCGTGGCGAGCATCGTTTGGGGTAAGTCCCTTTGTTGATAGACTCATCCCAGATTAAGAGTTGTGGCTGACTTGTAGATTAAGTAAGATTCTGAGGTTTTAAAGATTAAGAGAAAGAATTGTGTACAATAAATGTTACTGAATACGCTCTCTGGTTTATTGAATTCTGGAACCTTACCTTCCCCTACACAAGAATAAGTAGCGACGCGCTTACGCCGACTAATCTCTTGTCACTTAGAGAAAAACAAGCGAATATCGAGAGATAATTCGGCCGCCGCGCCGTCGTCCGCTTACAACTGTATATACTGCTACTGAAAGGTTATAGTTGTGTGAATGTATTTATTAGCATGAATTGTCAGACCTTAGTGACATATTGAATAACTTGTGCACTGCCAAACATAGATTAGGTGTATAGTAGTATGGATGTGTATGTTTTAAATGTATTATTTAAGCCTTATCACTTTGTATGGAAGAAAACAATGTACCCCAAGTTCCATCAAAAATAATAAACTAACATTTTAATCTACCTTCCTTGCACCTGTTGTTTGCTATTTTCAGTGCATGGTAGATATAAGCAGGGTGAGGCAGGTGCACAAAATCACCAGTGAAAATGGCTAGAGGTCAAAGCACCGAGGATAGATCATAGTGATCAGTAATGACCAAATTACAGGTTGATCATCCTGCAGACCACATAAAGAAATCTCACAATTCCAAAAATGTTGAGGTTAATTATTGAAATAAGTTAATTTTTTAAAGTATGCTGTTCGGTTCTTAAGTTTTTATGCACTTCAGCTTATTGTATCGCATGAAGGTACATTATAGTTGGATTAAATCTTAAAGAACTAAATAAAGTTTACATTATTGATTATCCCCAAACATATTTTAATTCAAGTGAATATTTTTTATTTTTATAAAATTAAATAACAGCTGTAGAGATAAAATTAGGCTTCAAGTAGTTAAGCTCTTAAGTGAAGAAACAATTTTTTCAAACATGTTGAACTGTGATGAGGATGAAGATGACAAAGCACCTCCAATATTCAAGCCGGTGACAATAGACAAGACTATAGCGAAAACTATAAGCGATGCTTTGGTCCTTCGGTGGGAAAAAGATTATGTCAAGCATGAAAAACAAGAGATGCTTCCTCCTTTGACTACGACTTACAAGCAATTCGACACGATAAGGTTAGTAAATTGTTTTTAGTTCAAATGGCCGAAACTCATTCCTTGTTTACAGAACGGTTCATGATTTACATGAAGCGTTCAAATATGAAATTGAAGAGTGTGCGATCAAAAAGAGAGAAAGAGAAGAGGATCTCGAGGAAGTGAAAAAAATGTGCGAGGCTTATAAAGAAACAATGCTCAATTTCACAACATTCATAAAGCACAACTCTGAAAAGAGGCAACGTACGCTGAAGCAAATGGAGCAAAACCTGGAGGAACTTAATAAGTGCACATTTAAGAACAGACGGTACATAAGATGTGCGCAGGATCTTCTGTACATCAAAGATGCTCTTGAACAACTCATTGAATCGAACACTTGCTATGTGACGTTCATGGAAGAAGTAGCCGGCCACTCTGTCCGTTACTCCTCATCCCAAAGTGTTGCTGTCAGATACAAAGCATTAAGTCAGACAAGAGAACGCTTAGCAAGCAAATACAATGATGTAAGTGATTGTATATTTATTTGACCTATACCAAGGTGATGTTTTATTTATATTATAAAATAATTTTGTTATATTATTAAAGCAAATGAATTAGCTTAATTTTTCTGCAAAAGTTCACATTTGATTGTAATATTTGTTGTTTTAGGTGCTTTTGAAAATACAAGGTTATCGTGATGAGGTGTTCAAAGAGGACAATAAGGGGTTGAGCGATCTTTTCATGTCCCTCCAGAGGCTTCAGAAGGTCAGCTATGAGTTGGAACAGATAAAAGAAAAGACAGCTCTTTTTGAGATGTCCATAAGTAAAATACGATCTCAAAGTGTAGATCACATGGTGGGCATCTGCCAGATTTTAAAATCGTCAGAGAACATGGTCAACAAACTTATTCGCCACGGGATAACAAACAGCAAAATCAGGAACCTCTCACTATCCGAGCAGTTTGAAATCATCAAAGCCGAACACTTCAGGCAAAAGAAAATACTGAAAGAATATCAAACGACTAAGAACAGGCATGCGAAGAGGCACGCCAAGAGGTTTACAAGAATGAAGAACAGAGAGATTGACAGAAACCTCGTGCTGGCGAATAAGAGAAGAGTGAGGGCTCTGCAACAGAATTGGCGCAGCATGGCACAGAGACTGCGCCAATCTGGAACAGAAAAAGAAATAAATGCCCTCACTCTCGACATAGAAGATGTTGCGTTGCTAACAGCAAAAGACCCAGATGCAGACACAGACGGTCCCAGCAGAAGGGGACTCGAAGACATCGATTCGAGCGATCTCGAAGCGACCACCACCATTACCACTTCTTCAGTCACTACTGATGAAGTATCAATGCTTAGTTCGGATAGCACTGAAATCCGTGACATCATAGTGAAGCCTAAAGAGGTCACCATTAGTGCGACTTCCTTAGTTGAGCCGCTTGTTCTCAAGCAACGCTCGAAACGAGCAGAGAGGCTTAAAAAGCACTACCTAACCACCCCGAGTGTAAGCACACCTATATCATCATCAAGTACATCAAGCGTGTACAGCGACCGCGCTGGAGAAGACAGCTTTGCAACATACGACAGACTGGGTCTAGAAATGGGTGGAAAAATAAAAACGACACTTTCGGCCATAGAAGAGCATGAAGACCACCTAAAAGACAGTGATGCCAGCATTGAAACAATTGATACATTAAGCGTTGAAAGCAGTATCGAGAGTTTGCCTAGTATAATTAGCAAAATTAGCCTAGACTCTCAGACTTCTTTTTATGAGTAATCGACCTATCTGTTCTATAGATATGTTTGCAATCCTTGATGTAATAATGCAAGGGTTCATTGTGCAACATTGTTGCATAATTTTTATATACATAAATAATTTCGAAAAATCCTTAAGAGTTAAGCTACAAAGCCTTACCTTCTTGAATAAAGAATGATATTACCGAGTCAATACATCATAATGTAAATATTTATAAATCTAGGAACACTAACAAAAACTTGAGTAACACTGGTAAAAAAGGACAACTTTTGGCTAGGTTAAAATTGTGGATAGTTAAGTTGATATGTAGTTTGTACGTATTTAGATGTTAGAAATTTCAGAAATATAAAGTTGCCAATAATTGCCAATACTGCAAAGGAAATAAAATTAAACAATTTTAAATCAAACTGTTTAAATTATTGATTATTAATTAAATAATTAATTAACCTCCTTATTATTAATTTTGCTTTTTTTACCATGTATAGACCAAAGTGAACTGCATAGAAGAATTTGAGAATCGAGTCATTATATTAGTACTCTGCTTTGAGAAAGGTACATTAAGAGTCCCACATGGTAAAAGCTTGCTCATAAAATGATACATCGTAATAAGAATTATTTGGAGATTGGGAGATACAGTCTGGTCTGATGTAGGTTTTAGAAAAACATTTTCTTTATCGTGCCAACGTTTCGATCTTTATTGACATCATCTTCAGAGTCTGGAATTTTATAAACATTGTTTAAATTTTACAAATAGATGTAAGAGATGGGAAAAAGTGAATTTATACAATGCTAGAAAATTTTAGATTAAAATAATGAATTTATACAATGCTAGGAAATTTTAGATTAAAAAAATTAATTTATACAATGCTAGAAAATTTTAGATTAAAAAAATTAATTTAGACAATGCTAAAAAATTTTAGATTAAAAAAAATGAATTTATACAATGCTAAAAAATTTTAGATTAAAAAAATTAATTTATACAATGCTAGAAAATTTTACATAAAAAAATGGATTTATACAATGCTAGAAAATTTTAGATTAAAAAAATTAATTTATACAATGCTAAAAAATTTTAGATTAAAAAAATTAATTTATACAATGCTAAAAAATTTTACATAAAAAAATTAATTTATACAATGCTAGAAAATTTTAGATTCAATCAAAGTATTTGTACTCGTTTTTTTGTAAAATTTTCTAGCATTGTATAAATTCATTTTTTCTTTTTTTTTATCTATAATTTTCTAGCATTGTATAAATTAATTTTTTTAATCTAAAATTTTCGATCATTGTATAAATGAATTTTTTTAATCTAAAATTTTCTAGCATTGTATAAGTTCATTTTTTTATTCATAATTGTTTAAATTCATTTTTTTATTCATAATTGTATATTCATATAAATTCATCATTGTATAAATTCATTTCTTCTTATTTTTTAATCTATAATTTTCTAGCATTGTACAAATTAATTTTTTTAATCTAAAATTTTCTGTCATTTTATAAATTCACTTTTTCTGATCTCTTACATGTATTTATAAAATTTAAACAATGTTATAAATCCCAGGCCCTGAAGATGATCTCAATAAAGATTGAAACGTTGGCAAAGAAAATGTTTTTCTAAAACCTATGTCACACCAGACCGCATCTCACGATCTCTGAATAATCATTGACTAACAGTCACTAAACACCACAGGTGATAAGTATTTTTTTCCCATTTTTGGGGGGTCTCTTTCTTGTTTTTAATTCACTCTCCTTTATTTCCAAACCTCGAAAAGTGCACTAATCTAAAGTTAGTTGAGCAAAGGTTCCTTTTTGCTTATTTCTTTAGGAATCAATAACGCCTTTCCAAAGAGGTCACCATTTTTGGGCCATGCTGTACAGTCTCAAAAGAAACGATGCAAAATAATTGATCATATTTAAAAATTAAGATAAATCTTACCTCAAATAAAAAGATTACAACCGGCTATATTATTTACAGTTAATTAGATATATGTCATACAATACTCTAGAGACGTTCTTCATGAAAGAATAAAATAACCTCTTGATGAAGAGAGATGTGATTTGTAGTAATTAAGATATCATCTTTTTCTTAAAATCCACGGATTGTAGCAATTATTATCTAAAGTTTGAAAAATCCCAAGTTATCTGTGGTTGAAATATTTGATTTATTACAATTAATTAAGGTTTTTAGTTGAGATAGAAAAGTCAATGGCACGAGCGGGATTCGAACCCACGATCTTCGGCTTGATACACCGCTGCTCTACCACTTGAGCTATCGTGACCTCGATCCACTCGGACACCAACTTCCCATCTCAACCTGAATTTTCCCTCCTTTTTGCCATTTTTTATGTCGTGTAATCCGATTGGATTCTCGACGACAAATGAAATGGTCACGGAGAGCTTTAGTGAAGTATACTTCATTTTAAATCATTAAATTGACTAATTTCGTGGTCCGCTTGACCAATTAATATATTACAATTAATTAAGGTTTTTAGTTGAGATAAATCTTTTTATATTAATTAGGAATTTTTCAACCTTTAGATAGTAATTAAGATATTAAAAGGGTTTAAATAAAAAAATAGAGATGTTCATATATTATGTATATTTGTATTAAATATATCCCTTTTCTATAATGAGGCAGACTAAGAAAAAAAAAAGTATTTTATTCTATAAGTTATGGATTGTAAGCTGCTAGCTAACTGACTAGTGCCCAATAATGTCACATGTACAAAAAAAAATTACAATATTTATATAAATTTAAATACACACAGATTGTTATGTGTAGATGCACACTCCACCTGCACTATCAGATAATGATTAATCTATTGTTACTCGATACGTACAATTTTTTCCACGAGTAAAAGATAATTTTCCAAGAGTCTTGAACGTTAATGAAAAAATATCACAATTATGTTAAATTTTTTAAATTAAATATTGCTAATTTTTTAATAATGTTGTTAATTTTATCCCACTAAACTGGAAGTGGATGTTCTTATAAGAGGAACATTAGTATGCTATGTTAAATTTTTGCTAGTTTTTAAGATAAATAGTCCAACCACTTTTAAAAACACAATTAAAATAAGTCTTTAGCCATAGGTGAAGCTGCAAAACAATTTTTTTTGGACAAGGTATTTACTCTAGATTAAATTAGCTTTGGTACATGGTTCTGAACTTATTTGTTAGCTAAAATTGTATTTTAAAAAAATATTGGAAACATTATCTCTGCTAGAAGAGCTCAATATTTTTGTATTTGCCATTATTTGGTATATTGTACAAATTAAATTTTTACAAAAAAATATACCAATGAGCAACAAGAGACAATAATACTGGCAACAAAATTCTATTCACAAAACAGAAATTCATCTAAAACATACGTTAATAATAAATTAGGAACCAAGTTCATACAATTATATGTAAGTTTTTATTATTACAATTAATTGACATGATGGATATAAATTTACCACATATGAACATTATGTCACTTAACATTAAATAATAAAGTTTAAATATCATTATAAGGAATTTTCGATTACACAAGCATAGAGTTCACCTTCTTCTGATGTATGGAAAAATAAATATCTACAAAAATTCTTTGTACAAAATACAATGATAATATTATTACATTAAATAGTTTTGAATACACTTAATAGTTTACAATGTGTTTCATTTGGTGAATTGACGAGGGCTTATCCGCATGCCGCTCGGTAAAAAAAAAAAAAAAAACTAAACAAAAAACCAATCCGTTTTGATGAGGATGTGGAATGTTTGAACCCAAAAAGCGAATAGTCCGTATTAAAAATAATAATAATAAAAACAAAACAATAATATAATAACATGATTTTTTCTCCCTTACAAAAGAGTCAAAAAGCGCGTCTTTGAGTTGTTACACCAGTCTCAAACCTCCTGTTATGTTGGCTCTCTGTGCCCTTGAAAATCATAAACTCCTAAACTGATATTGTCACCAGTGCCCCTTTCCTGCAAAAATAAAAACAAAAAAATTTGAACAAAAATAATTAATTAAATTCACTAATTTCGTGGTCCGCTTGACCAATTAAATCATTACAATTAATTAAGTTTTTAGTTGAGATGAAAAAATGGTTAATGGCACGAGCGGGATTCGAACCCACGATCTTTGGCTAGATACGCCGCTGCTCTACCACTTGAGCTATCATGACCTCGATCCACTCGGACATCAACTTCCTACCTCAACACCACCTTATGAAAGGGGTTAAATGGCAAAAAGGAGGGAAAATTCAAAAGGTGGGGTTGAGATGGGAGATGTCCGAGTGGATCGAGGTCACGATAGCTCAAGTGGTAGAGCAGCGGCGTATCTAGCCAAAGATCGTGGGTTCGAATCCCGCTCGTGCCATTGACTTTTTTTTATCTCAATTAAAAACCTTAATTAATCGTAATATATTTTTTATATTCAAACAAAGTATTTTTTGATTTCTTAATAATGATTTAAGAAAAATGTTAACTCAAATTTATGTTTTAGTGGTCAATTGACCAAGTTACTTCTTTCAATTAATTAGTCTTTATGTAAGGTCTTGGTTGAGATAAAAGAAAGTCAGCGTCACGAGCGGGATTCGAACCCCCGGAACTTCGGCTAAATACATCGGTGCTCTACCGCTTGAGCTAACGTGACTTCAATTAACTCAAATGTTATTGAAAATTGTTTATTATGCTCTCTGCCACTCTGTTTTAACTTGTGGGATTATTGCACGGGGTAACTCTTCCATTAAATATCTTGTAATCTGGCAGGACCCCTTACAAAGCATCTCAATCTGCAGTGACTGATTTCACACCTCTTTCTCATTTAACCTTGACCTACTTGTTCTGTCTGTACTGTCTTTTTTTTTTTTTTTTTTTTTTTTTTGGGGGGGGGGACTGCTGGATTCGAACATGGTACCTTTACCTTACAGGAGCCCCGTGCCAATGCCTTGACCGTTGTGGCCATTGATTCTCATATTTTATAAGTTTTGAAAGTTATCATCCTAAACAAAGATACTAAGTTGATTAGCATAGTTTTTATAATTGACAAGTACAAGGGTGCGAGACTTAAATGAAAAGTAGTGTATATACTTAATGAAAGTTGAGTACTCCATGGATCGGATGAATATTCAATAATTATAACTGTTTTAGAAAGCATAGCTGTTACCCTTACTCTCTAGGGTAGATAAAACATGGACTTCTTTCACTTGTGCAGTATTAACTTAGGGGTAAAATATTTTTTATTGAGGGCCAATAACGGTGAAGTATTGCTAAACTACATGAATGACACTTGTTAATTACTATAATTTATTGTGGTACATTTTTAATTTTTGGAGATGAAACTGAAATTTGGTTGTTTCCGATCATTTTCTGCCTAACCTTGCTGTTTTTGGTGAGATGTTTTAGCCTCTCATCAAAACCAATGATGAGGTTTATGCACCTCTCTCCCTTCTTATACCCTTGATTCCATGCACTGAAGACAGTGAGACAACAAGTCTTAGCACAAGGAAGGGATAGGCAGAAATGACTAAATCGCCTATTTTATATTCTGACAATTGTATAGCTCTGTTGTGTTTTGATTAATTGATTATTAATTGATAAATATTAATAATTATGAAAAAAATAAGTGTAATTTTCGTATTCAGATTATTTTGCCTAAGCTTGTATTTTAGTTTTCTGTGAATAATATTATTAAAGACAATTGTTATTATGAAATAGCAAGGAATGAAATTTTAAATGAAAGGAGTGAATGTGGGTGTGAGAGTAGGGCAATGTGAATGACCTTTCTAGGAAAAAATGTGCTATAATTTTTTATTTATTGTTTACAATAATTTAGTTTTATTCTACATTATGTACGAGTAATATACCAGAAGATAGAATTTTTAATTTGAAGAAAATTTAGGAATTGGATCCAGAACAATTTTCACACAGAAAAATTAAGAAAAGAAATGTTGGGTCGTTTATCCAATAATGGTCAGATACCGTAAGAAATTATTGGATTTTTATACAATTTTTTCTTGGACAAACAATGAAATATTCATTGCAGGGAATACTTCAAATCAATAAACATAGACTATGATCTTGGTTATGTGGGTTGGTAAAATATCAAAACTAATATCAAGAAATAATGTTAGATATTAACTTACTCTTGAGACGTGATGTAATGCAATCCGTGGGATCTCTCTCCCGAAAGGGGTCTGCTTTCCCAAATCTCCACTGCTTTCACAATGGCTGCAAATAGCAAAAACAACGTAAGTCAAATAAATCGATAGATAATTTAAGCAGAATTTTAAAAAAAAGTTACCTAGTGATGAGATTATGTTTGTGCTTTCTCTGTATCCTTACATAAACATATATACAGATGCAGACGACAAGGAATACAGCAATCGTCGCTCCAGATGCAATACTAGCTGTCTCCAGCATTACCCTGTGCCTAGATGCTAAAATCATTGAAAAAAAAAAAAAATTAGGTTGTGATTGTTTTCCTGTTTATAAATTTTGATGGCACTTACGAGTATACGATCCGTCAAGGTCTTTAAATTCACACCTCATTCCCATGAAACCGTCAGCGCACCTGAAAATTAGAAGCTCGTTAGTTCAATAGCTTAATTATGAAGCCAGTAAAAGTACGTGAAATAGAGAAATGAATGTCACGGAAAGATCGAGCGAGTGAACAGCGAGGATAACAATAGAAAATTAGTGAAGAGTGGACAGGGGAAAAGGACATTTTCCAACTGGCTGAGGAATGTAGTGCATTAGGATGCGCGGGCATGCCCTCAAAACTTAATGCCCGAACACGGCTTGATAGTCTTTCCCGGCCCAGGTAAAATACAATAATTGCCCTTCTTCAATCCCTTGGCCACTTGTGTGGGAAAAAGAGCCGACCTGTCTTTACAAAGGCAAGCGGTGTAATTACACAACTACATTAAAATAAGCCTGATGTGGATATAAGTGAAGGGGGTACAATATGTAAATAAGGCGTCGGTATCGTTTACTCGTAATTGGGCGAGAAAAAGTCAAAAATGCCTGGATCGTAAAAGAACGCTAGGATCGAGACCCCCTGCTGTATATAAAGAATCGTTGACACATTTTACCTGCATGAAATAGAGTAAGTAGGAGCGCAAAATCGTTTGTATGTGGGTACCTGCAGTTGTTCGATACGTGAGTTCCCACAAGCGGTGGAGGATTAGTAGGCCGGACCCGAGGATAATGAACTAGATTCTTAGAAAGTAGAGATGTATACATTAAAGTCATTTCGTACTTACTCGCAGTAGTATGTCTGGAACTCTCCTATGTCGACGGTGAAACAGGTCGCCCCGTTGAGGCAGAAAGAGTCAGCGTAACTCGGGGGACAAGTCGTGGTGTGGAAATTAGGGTTCGGACGGGCTACGGGCAACACCGGAGGCCTCGGCTTCGGTGTCGATCTGCTTGAGCATCCCTCTGAAAATAAATAATTAATTACAATCATATAAAAAAAGATTAAACCGACCTAATCTGTTGAAAAAAATCTTCAAATTCCTTGGTCTATCATATTCTGCCCTTTGCTGGTACGCAAAAATTTAAAACTACAGCGAAATCAGAGGTGGTTCAAAAATTTGTTAAGTTATAAGTAAACATTAACACTATTAAAGATGAAAGATTGAATTTCAAAAGGAGGGGAGCTAGAACATAAATGTGATTCAATTTACACAGGAAGAGTCAACAGAAGTTGTCTTCTATTTACACAAGAAACAGGGGAAATGTAATTTTATTTGTACAGGAGTAGGCAACAGAAATGTGATATAATTTACACAGGAAAAGACAAGAGAAAGAAAACTCTTCTACATAAAGAAGTAGAGACAACAGAAATCTAACCACCTAACCATCCCTAAACAGAAATGTAATTTCAAATTTGCCCGTAAGAGTCAACAGAAATGTTCTTCTATTTCAACAGGAAAAACAAACAAAAGTTTTCAATTTAAAGAGAAAGAGCTAACAGAAATTTACTTCAAATTAGACAGAAAAACGGAACAGAAAGAGTCGACAGAAACTTTCTTATATTTTAATAGGAATAAATTCAATTTAGACTGGAAGAGACAGCAGAAATTTTCTTCTATTTAAACAGGAACAGAAGAGAAACTTCTATTTTTATAGGAAGACTGAACAGAAAATTTCTGTCGGAAATCTATGTTTAAACTAGAAGAGTACAGAAGAAACGATAGAAACTGTAATCCAATTTAGACAGGTGGAAGTCAAAGAAATTTTCTTCTATTTTAATAGGAAGAGCGAACAGAAAATTTCCGACCGAACAGAAATGTAATTCAATTTAGACTGGAAGGGACAGAAGTCGGAAGATTTTTTTTTCTTTCAATTTAGACAGGAGGTGGCACAGAAATTTTCTTCTATTTTAACAGTAACATACAACAAACATTTTCTTATGTTTATACTAGAAGAGACAACAGATATTTTCTTCAACTTATATTGGAAGAGTCGACAGAAATTTTCTTAAATTTAAACAGGAATGGCCATCAGAAATTTTCTTCAAATTATATCGTAAGAGTCGAAAGAAATATTTGTCTATTTTAACAGGAAGGGCGAATAAAAATATTTCCTCTAACTTGTAGACAGGAGAATGTAACAGAAATTTTCTTCAACTTATATTAGAAGAGTCGACAGAATTTTGGGTCTATTTTAACAGGAAGGGCGATCAGAAAGAATTCAGGTCGAGACAGCAAAAATTTGCATCAGATTAGATCTGAATAGAAAACAGAAATTTTCTTTCGTTTAAACAGGAATGTAGTTCAATTTATACAGGAAGATTTGACTGACAGTTTCTTCAATTTAAACAGGAAGAGGGAACAGAAATTTCCTTCAATTTAGACAGGAGGAGGCAACAGATATTTTCTTCTATTTTAACAGTGACAGACAACAAATATTGTCTTGTATTTATACTGGAAGAGATAACAGATATTTTCTTCCATTTGGTTTGGAAGAGTAGGCAGAAATTTTCGTTTATTTAAAAAGAAGACAACATAAATGTAATTTAATTTAGGCAGAACGGTATGTGGCATAAATGTATCTGAAACTGGCGGCGATATAATAAATATATATTCAATTTAAACATGCAATTATGCAACAGAATTTCTTCATTTCAAACCACATTCCTATTCATTCAAGAATGCTAATTGAACTATGCTAATATATTAAACAGGATGCTAAGGATAATTGTTTGTATTCTAAGTTATACAAATAAAAACTCACACCGCCATCTTCATAGCGTGCCAGCGAAAAATGAATAAATACCGGAACAAGCCCGACCGAAAACTAAAACGAGAATTGGCCGGTAAACCGAGCATAGACGATAATACAGGGGTAAAATATTTATAAATCTCTTCAAAGCATGTTCTTCCGACTAAACAGCTCATATCCTAAAGAGGCCGAAAAAACACTTAAAGGTGAAGGGGATGAGGGCACTTGTATTCGCCACCCAGAGAGCTTCCCATGTGCCAAGTAGTTTTGAAATATTGTATCTTTTATCCGAAGTGTTTCTTGTTTGGCTGTCAATCAACTTTTGAAGTTTGTTATTATTTTATTTATAATTGTTTTTTATATTAAGCTAAACACGTCCTTTATTTTAAATATCTAATTTTTATGTTCAAGTTCCTGTTAAAATAGACAAATAATTCCGTCGACTCTTCTAACATAAATGGAAGAAAATTTCTGTTGGCTATTCCTGTATAAATTTAAGAAACTTTCTGTCGACTCATCCTCTCTAAATTGAATTACAATCCTGTTCTTTTTCTGTTCAAATAGAAGAAAATTTATGTTCGCTCTTCCTGTTAATATAGAGAAAAAAAAATTCTGTCGACTCTTCCAGTCTAAATCGAAGAAAATTTCTGTCAAATCTTCCTGTATAATTGTATAAATTGAACTGCATTCCTGTTTAAACGGAAGAAAATTTTTGTTTTCTCTTCAGATTTAAATTGAAGCAAATTTTTGCTGTCTCGACCTGTTAAAATTAAAGAAAATTTCTGTTACTTTCTCCTGTCTAAAAGTTAGAGGAAATTTTTGTATTCGCCCTTGTTAAAATAGACAAATAATTTTGTCAACTCTACAAGTCTAAATTGAAGGAAATTTCTGTTCTATCTTCCTGTTCAAATTGAAGAAACTGTCAGTCAAGTCTTCCTGTATAAATATTTCTGTTTAAACGGAAGAAAATTTCTGTTTTCTCTTCAGATCTAAATTGAAGCAAATTTTTGCTGTCTCGACCTGTTAAAATTAAAGAAAATTTCTGTTACTTTCTCTTGTCTAAAAGTTAGAGGAAATTTTTGTATTTGCCCTTCTTGTAAAATAGACAAATAATTCTGGCGACTCTTCCAATATAAATTGAAGTGTGGGTCAATCGTTTCAATTATGTACAAGCCTTTATTTACGGAAAATATTTCCATTTACACGGTATGTATACCTCATAATAGAGGCATTTAAAATATAACAAATCCATTATAAATAGTATAATCAGACCTGAATATTTACATGATTTCCTTCAGTGGTTTAGAATTGACAATAATTCTTTTTTATAACAGTTTTGTGACTGGTAAAATATCAAGTTGGTCGTTTACACAGTTTATATTTGATAAGCCCTTTCCAGGGGAACATTTTTCATATAATTGTTTTTATGGTGTGCTAAAAAACAACTCTGTCTATTTCTATAGGCAGGTCATGAAATTTTATCTCTTCTAGTTGAAAGGGGCATTTAATAATATTGTAATTTTGAACAATATTAGAACATCAGTCATTGATCTTTTTACATTCTAGTGAGTTTATACCTAATTCGGATCTCAGTTGAGTTTGGTCATCTGGTTCAAGACGTATTTGTAGTTTGAGTCCACAGGATGTTAAAAATTTGTTTTGCACTTTTTCTAAAGTATATACATGATAACTGTAGTAGGGTGACCAAACAGGTGAGTTATACTGTAAGTGGGACCTGACCAAAGCAAAATATAAGTTTTTGTTTTTTATACATTCTATTTGTTCCAGGAACGTTAACTTAGAATCAAAAATTACCCCTAGGACCATGGAGTCTAGTGAAGAAAGTTTAACATCACAGATTTTATAATCACAGATTAGAGGGCATTGAATACGATGGAAGCGTATTAAATTACACTTTTTAATATTAAGTTCTAGATAACAATATTTATATCAATATCATCTTCTAATCTTAAATTGTGATCTGTCAATTATAACTGTCCGATATACTTTTTGATAAAAATGGTTAACGTCCCTAATCATGACCGGTGGTTTGTTCCGGCATCTGTGTTTCTATTCATTAACAACTGCCTTGGCCGAGTTCACTCCTCCGGAGGGCCGTCTGATTTCAAAGCCGGCGTAACGAGTTGTGATCGGCAAGCAGGTGGACGTATCGGGGTACGGTAACGGCATGCGGTCGAGATCTACCCGCAGGCCATATGCTCCTCTCTTTTCTTCTTGTTAGACCCTAATCACACTAATGCCAGGCCGAATGCCGCAGCCGAATTTAATTTCTAACCTCCGCTTTCGCAAATGATTATACCCTGACCTAAAGGCGTGCTGCGCTCTAACTCGGAACGTATTTTTTTCCGCCGTTGTAAAATTGTTCGCTGCAACCAATAATTAGAGTATGAGGAACATTAAAAAAAACTGTGCCAAATCATTGTTATAATTGTCTACCCAAACACAAAAGTAAGTTAACAAAGCGTATTTTCCTGTTAGTTCTTCAAGGTGGTTGCTCGGATATTTAGTTATCTGACGACACCTGACAATAATGACAGTAAACTTTCTCCTTTCACGACCCTACACAATTGATTCACACTGACAAAACACTTTAATTTCAAAAGATTATAGTTCACGATTTCCTCTTCACGTTTGTGAGGTGGTGGACCTCAAGTTTGGTTACCTGAAAACACCGAAAGACAAAGATGACACCGAGACACTGCTACTAGTTTTCACAAATTTAAAAAATGGACCAGACAAAGCAAGAATCATACGATGCAGATCGTCAGTTACTAAATTCCATTGCATTCCTACCTAGTTATCTGGTTATATTAACTCTTGGATTCGGCAGGATGATGGTCGTGAAGCTTGGTTAACTGAAGACTCTGTCAAAGTTGACACTGATAACACCTTTCACGATCTTGTAACGCTGATTCGTACTGACCAAAAATTTGAAATTCAAACGACGGTTTAGGATAAGTTGTCCCTCAGATGGCCTCATTTCGATCCACCTTGCTGTTCTGATGGGCCAGAGGCGTTTCGGCTTTTTGCCATCTTCAGTCTTTCGTCTACCACGCCCTGTTGAACCTTGATGACAAGCACCAACAGGAAAAGATTAAACCGGCACACTCTTCAAATTTAAAGTAAACAGAATCAGAGGGAATTCGTCGTTCTTAGTTTAGAATTTGTATGCTTCCAAGACTCAATTTGCT